CGGTTGGGGGCAGAGTTTTGGGAGTGGCAGTGAGGAGATCCCAGGCCGGAAGATGTGGCGGGAAGCCTCCCTGGGCGGGGTGGGGCCCCAGGGTACTCGGCTCCTCTCTAGGCACTTCTGGTGATCTTGCCAGGGGACGGGGTGCGACTCTAGTTCGCCTGTGGGTGTGAGAGTGCCACAAGGTGAAAGGGGAGAAGAACAATCGTACAAGGGTTAAGGCATTTGTCCTTATCACAGCATCTGGTCCCCTGAGCACCACGGAAGATGGTCCCCGAGACCAAAATAAAGAAATTATTAAATGTATTCTAGGCCCCAGGAGCTAGCGCAACAGGCTGAGAATAGGCTTTGCTTATGGGACCGCTGGACTGGAGCAATAGCACAGCGGTAGGGCGTTTGCCTTGCGCACAGCCAGCCCGGCCGAGCCGGGTTCGATTCCTCTGCCCCTCTCGGAGAGCCCGGCAAGCTACAGAGAATATCTCGCCCGCATGGCAAAGCCCGGACGAGAAAAGTGCAGTCTCTGCCCCCGCGCCTGGGTGTTCCTTCCCGGAGTCCCTTGGAGGGGAGCGGGTTGAGCTTTCCTCCCCGCCCCGACCAGGGCTACGGCAGCCGAAGACCTCCAGGACCAGCCACCACCATGCTGAGACCACTCTCCGCACACCTGAAGGTACTGGCAGAGGGACAAAGCCACGCGGGTTCCGGGGCCGAGACCTCTAAGCCTACTCGATTTGGAGTCGAGCATCTTCCACCCAGATCCTCCAAATTCCAGTAGGCGGGGGTCACACCCACCACCTGGCCCCCTGGCGCCGTGTAATCCCATCAGCGGCCAAGACTCAGAGACTATAAAATCCAGATCCCGGACGAGAAAAGTGCAGTCTCTGCCCCCGCGCCTGGGTGTTCCTTCCCGGAGTCCCTTGGAGGGGAGCGGGTTGAGCTTTCCTCCCCGCCCCGACCAGGGCTACGGCAGCCGAAGACCTCCAGGACCAGCCACCACCATGCTGAGACCACTCTCCGCACACCTGAAGGTACTGGCAGAGGGACAAAGCCACGCGGGTTCCGGGGCCGAGACCTCTAAGCCTACTCGATTTGGAGTCGAGCATCTTCCACCCAGATCCTCCAAATTCCAGTAGGCGGGGGTCACACCCACCACCTGGCCCCCTGGCGCCGTGTAATCCCATCAGCGGCCAAGACTCAGAGACTATAAAATCCAGATCCTGGAACCGCGCGGCCGCATTCGCGGCCGCGCGACATCTTATTATCTCATTCCTACTTTGGACAAACTTGCAGGCTATCGAATGTAGCCTGCCCACAGGGCAGAGTCTGGCAAACTCCCCGTGGCGTACCAAATATGCCAAATACCAGTAACAATGATGGGTCTCATTCTCCTAAAGAGCCGTGAATATAATCTCAGGGCTAGGATGAAAGAGACGTTACTGGGGCCTGCTCGAGGCAATCGACGATTAACAGGATGATGAAATGAAAAAAATGAAATGGCAAAGCCTGGCAAGCTCCCCGTGACATATTCGATATATCAAACACAGTAACAAGTCTCACGATGGAGATTCCTGGGCCCGCTCGAGCAAATTGATGAACAACGGGAGGACAATGTTTTTTTTAATTATTATTATTATGGGACCGCTCTGGTTTGATTACTGGCACCATATGATTTTACCCACCACCAGGAACGACCCCCAAGTATGAAGCTGAATAGGGCCCCAAACCCAAAGATGTTTTATTTCCTGCCACTTCTATCCCAATAAGGGAGACAGAACTTTCTAAGAGTCTAGAAACTTCTCTCTCACTCAGTTTCCAACTTCTTGGTGTTGCTGAACTAATCTAGTTCTCAGAGTTCTGGAAAAAGGTATCGATTAGTTGCCACGAATGTTGAACAGTGCAAGTTCTGGTGTACGTGCACATGTGTGTGCATGTGTGTATGTGTGTAATTTTGTGTGCACGTGGCATGCGTGTGCCCATGTGAGCGTGTGTGTGTGTGTGTGTGTGTGTGTGTGTGGTGTTTGGGCCACGCCCAGCAGTGCTCAGGGGCTACTCTGGACTCTGTGCTCAGGGCTCATTCCCAGTGTTGCCTGCGGGAGCTTCTATGCAAAGGATGAAGCCTGCACCCCTAACGCGCAAAGCGTGTGCCCTGACCCTTTGAGCTCTGAGCTGTCCCCAGAGAGCGTCCTTTGATCCTGGGCTTCAGGTGTGTCCTGACGCGATGCGTGACTTTTCTTTATCTCCTCCAGTCCTTTCAGCCGGCCAGCCCAGGTCTAACTTTCGGCCTACCAGACCTTCAGGCCCGCCAGTGTTGCCTTTCCGCTCTTTCTGCCTCTTCTTTAATTTGGAGCGAAGCATTCGAATATCAGAGCTACTGGATCGAGTCTCCAAGTCTCATATTTTCCTCATTATTTCCCTCTCTTCGTATTACTTGCCCTGTGCTCTGAAATCGTTTTTTCCGCTCCTTCTTCCAAGCCACTGATTTCAGTCTCAGCAGAAACCAGAGTTCTCTCTCTCAGCACATGGACTGCTTTTCCTTTTGTTGAAAAATTATGACTTTTTTTTTTTAATTTCCAGAAGTGATTTGCGCGGGGGTGGGAGGAGTGAGGTTACACCCAGTGGTGATCAGGACTCACTCCTGGCTCTGTGCTCAGGGAAACATGCAGGGTGCTGGGATCTTCCCGGCTCCCCAGAAAATACTTTTTTGGGGAGAAATCTTAGGGGGACCACATCTGGCAGTGCTCAGAGCTTACTCTTGGCCCTGTGCTCAGAAGTCACTCCTGTCAGGCTCAGGGGACCATACTTGGTGCTACGGATTATAAAAGGGTCAACTGTGTTTAAGGCAAGCGCCTTTTCTGCTGTACTATCTCTCCAGCCCCTCGGAAAATACTTTTTTTTCCCTTTTTTGGGTCACACCCAGTGATGCACAGGGGTTACTCCTGGTTCATGCACTCAGGAATTACTCCTGGCGGTGCTGGGGGACCACATGGGATGCTGGGAATCGAACCCGGGTCGGCCGCGTGCAAGGTAAATGCCCTACCCACTGTGCTATCACTCCAATCTCAAACTTTTTTAAGATAATGACTTAAAAATCTTTTTAAGTAGAGTTCATGCCCAATTCAGTCAGCTAATCAGTGGCTGAATAAACAGCAGTACTCCTACATATATAAAAAAAAATCTTTTTAAGGGGACAGAGCAACAGAACAGTGGGTAGGGCATTTGCCTTGCACATGGCCAACCCGGGTTCAATTCCCAGCATCCCATATAGTCCCCCAAGCACCGCCAGGAGTAATTCCTGAGTGCAGAGCCAGGAGTAACCCCTGTGCATTATCGGGTATGACCCAAATATATATATATATATTTTTTTTTTAAGTGCCCTAATCTATTTTTAGGTTGTAGGTTTGCCACTGGTGTCTCGGCTGTAGGGTGGGCTGTCCTGTGGGCCCAGCCTTAGTCCTGGTCCTCTGCCACCAGGTCCTGTCTGCGTTTTGCAGCCCCCTGTCTGGGGGACCAAGGAAAGGTCAGACCAGCCAACACCAGGCCTTCCCCTTAGCTCCTGCTAAGTTTCTAAGTTCCTCACACCCCCTCCCCTCATCCTTGTGCTGGCCGGCCGGCAGCCAGGGTCCAGGAGACGTTATCTGGAGAGGGGAGTGGAAATTCCTGGGAATAGCGGTTCTCAAACCTGAGTGTTCACTTGCAGCCCTGCCAGGAATTGTTCCTGCAGATGGCGGAGCCCCACGCCAGGACTTTCTGATTCATTAGACCGGAGGGGCCCTGAGATTTGGCCCTGCTCACCAGTTCCCAGAACAGTCGCGCTTGTGGATCGGGCTGTGATTCAGAGTGCATCAAACCAAGCCGCTTTTCTTCTTCCCCTCCTTTCCCTTCTTCAAAATTGGTTTGTTTGTGTTTGGGCCACACCTGGCCGTTCTTAGAGGCTACTCAGGGGTACCCTGAGGTGCTGTGGAGCAAACCTCCCCCCGTGCAAAGCCTGGACTCCAGCTCACTGAGCTTCCTCTCCGGCCCCGCGTTTAACTTTATCTTACTTGGGGGCTGGAGCCATAGCACAGCGAGTAGGGCGTTTTCCTTGCACGCGGCCGACCCGGGTTCGATTCCCAGCATCCCATATGGTCTCCTGAGCACCGCCAAGAGTAACTCCTGAGCGCAGAGCCAGGAGTAACCCCTGAGCATCGCTGGGTGTGACCCAAAAAGAAAAACCTTACTTTTAGGTTAAGGATGTTCACCCAATGTCAGGGAAACACTGACTCTTCGTCTGACATTTGGTTCTTTGACTCGTTCACAGTATGAGGCTGATATCGAGTCGTCCACTCTGAGCTCTCCCTCTGTCACACCCTTGTGGGCAACCCCCCCTTGACTTGTATTTGAGAAGGGGCAAGGCAAGCGCCCTCCCCGCTCCAGCCCTGCACATCACCTCTTTCTTCCCCTGGAACCCAGTGGCACTGACGCGGGTGACTGCAGGAAACTCGGACACCCACCCCCGGCCCGGGGGGCTCTTCTCCCAACACCCAGAGTTCTTCCCAAACTTCAACTCCCACTGGAAGCTGGAGATGTCACCTTGCAGGACAACACGGGCTGGCACTGCCCGGGGCCTTGCCTTGTGTGGGTACGCCCCTGCTGAAAGGCCTCCCGTGGGCCTTCCCCAAACGGAGGAGTAAAAAGACACACACGAATTTATTGTTTATACAGAGTGTTGGAAGAAGTACAAAGCAGGGACCCGATTCAGCTTGTTGGACGCCGTTTCTCCAAGTCACCTCACCTGGAACTCAGTCCCCCCTGAGTCTGGACAGGCAGTGGGAGGGGCTTGTGCTCATGGGGGTTGGGGACAGCTCAGAGTCACCCCCACTCTGAGTCTCGAGACAGCTGCACAGAGCTGTCCCTCAGGGCCCCCTGCGGGGCTCCGCACGTCTCCGTGGGTCTTGGGGGGCTGGAGAGAGGCGCCCCCAGCCCAGCCATGGTGGGGAAGAAGCCGGTGGTGGCGTCTGGGCCTTGGGGGTGCCCTGACCTCTAGGAATGGCAGGACCAGGAGCGCGGTGTCACCAGCCCCCAGAAGGTCGTCTGTGCCGGAGAAGGGTGAGTTTGGAGGGGGCCCTCCCAGTACCCACCCTGCACGCCTCAGCCAGGCCTGGAGCCCCCAACCCTGGCTCAGCTCTGGCTGCCTGGAGGGGCCTCCTTGCTGGCGGCCTTACCTGGGGCAGGGGGCAGTGACGTCGCGCGTACCACTCCTGGCAGTACAGGCTGACCTGGATGCCCTGGCCCAGAAACAGCAGCGTCCACATGACCACGTTCCACGCGGGGCCTGTGTGCCGGTCATGCATCATGAAGTTTAGCAGCCCTGCAGGGAAGAAGAGGCGGAGAAGCTGTCACCCCAACTCCAGAACCCACGCCGCGTCGCCCAGACCACCCTCCCCAAGGAGCAGGACGCCTCCCGGAAGATCTTGAACCCACAGCAGAAACCCTCGGCGGAGGTGGCAGTCCAGGTGGGGTTTTTTTGCTTTTGTTTTCCATTTTTAGGGTTCTGGGTCACACCCAGCCGTGCTCAGGTAATAAAATATGTTGATAGTATATATTCTTGACATGGGGTGATGTCAGTGTCTTTGTAATTTTATGTTCTTCCACAAACCATGTTGCAAATCCAAGCATAGAAAAATGGCAAATCACTTCCTAGATTTTTGATCCCAAACAAGTATAGTGTCTGTTCTTTAAGTTTAATATCTGATATTATCCACAGACAAGGGCAAAAAAAAATTAAACACATTAGAAAAATCCTAATAAACACTTGACCAGCACACTTCAAAACTGTCAAGGTCATCAAAGAAAAGGAAAAGTCATGACCAAATAGGATCTGTGACAGGGACTAAAAGTAATATGGTCTTTAAGAGGGAGTTCTAGAACAGGAAAAGTATTTTAAAGACAAAGGGAATTTAGTCTGATTATTGGTTTACCTAATAATAATGGTTCCTGGCCAGCTGAGGGGACCATAAGGAGAACCTGGCAGGCCACTGAAAGTATCCTGCCCACACGGCAGAGTCTGGCAAACTCCCCGTGGTGTATTCAATATGCCAAAAACCAGTATGGGTCTCATTCTCCTGACCCTGAAAGAGCCTCGAATGTGGCACTTTCTAAAATCTCAGGGCTAGGACGAAGGAGACGTTACTGGTGCCTGCTCGAGGCAATCGATGAACAACAGGATGACAGTGATACAGTGATACCCAGCCGTGCTCAGGTGGTTACTCCTGGCCAGCTGAGGGGACCATAAGGAGAACCTGGCAGGCCACTGAAAGTATCCTGCCCACACGGCAGAGTCTGGCAAACTCCCCGTGGCGTATTCAATATGCCAAAAACCAGTAACAATGATGGATCTCATTCTCCTGACCCTAAAAGAGCCTCGAATGTGGTGGCACTTTCTAAAATCTCAGGGCTAGGATGGAGACATTACGGGGGCCTTCTCAAGGCAATTGATGAACAACAGGATGACAGTGATACGATGATACCCAGCCGTGCTCAGGTGGTTACTTCTGCCCAGCTCAGGGGACCACAAGGGATGCCGGGGGATCAAACCCAGGTTGGCTGCATGCCAGGAAAGTGCCCTCCCAGACGGGCAATCCCCCAGCCACTAGGCAGCACCGGTGAAGCTGAGAACCCGGACCACCTCACTGCCTGGAGTTCCTGCCGCACCTCCGACCTCTGCATGCCCCCTCAGCAGGAGCTTTCTCAACACCTCCGGCAGCCTCATGTTGCCTCCCTTGTCGCGGGGTGCCCCTTTAGCCTCAAGACCGAGGAGGACCCCCGCCTCCTCCCTCTGGGGCTTCCCTCCCAGTGCCACTGAGACCCGAGCTCACCTCCGATGCCCAGGAAGAGGACCAGCATGACTGGGTAGAAGAAGCCCAGGACGAAGCAGACAATGTACTCGTGGACCACAGCAGAGACCAGGAACACGCCCAGCTTAGCTGCACCTCGGGCCCGGCCACCCAGGAGCTGGCGGAGGGGAGCGGGGAGGCAGGAGTGAGCCCCTCCACAGAGTCGGGGGCCAATGGGAAGAAGATGGGATTTGGGGCAAAGCCGGGTTAAGTCGGTCCTGCTTAAGAACATTCTATGGGTCCACTGGGACTGAGATGGATTTTTTTCTTCTAAATTGTACTGCCAAGGGTCATCCCCAGATTTCAAGGATGCCAGACATGCAGTTATTGGACTTTTTGGTTCGGGGGTGTGGGTGGGGGCTTACTTCTGGCTCTGCACTCAGGGATCATTCCTGGTGATGCTCAGGAGACTGTATGTGGTACCAAGGACCGAATTTGGGCTAGTTGCGTGCAAGGCAAGTGCCTTACCTCTATCCTACCTCACCCTCCACACAAGTGGTTTTTTTTTTCACTGCTGTTGTTGTTTTTTGGGTCATATCTGACAGTGCTTGAGGTCTGCTCCCTGCTCAGTGCTCAGGGAACCAAGCAATGCTGAGGATGGAACCCAGACTTCCTGCATGCAAAACGTGCTCAGTCTACTCACTCCCTAGATGCAGTTCTTAAGAGGGGCTATCACAATGCTTCTTTCTGGGATGGGAGAGCTAGTACAGTGGATACAGCTCTTCCCTTGCAGGTGACCAATCTGGACTTGATTTCTGGCACCTCATGTGGTCCCTTGAGCTCTGCCAGTAGTGACTCCTAGTTCAGAGCCAAGAGTAAACCCTGAGTACCACCAGCTGTGGCCCCCAATTTTTTTACAAAAGCTAACTTTTCAGGGGTACTGTACAGATTAAATAAAAACTCCTGATGGGGCTGGAGCGATAGTAGAGCGGGTAGGGTGTTTGCCTTGCACGTGGCCAACCCAGGTTCGATTCCCAGCATCCCACATGGTCCCCCAAGCACCACGAGGAGTAATTCCTGAGTGCAGAGCCAGGACTAACCCCTGTGCATCACCGGGTGTGAGCCCCCCCAAAATAACCCAACTCTTGATAAAGTAATATGGCCATATGAATGATCTTCGCAAGCTAAGGTTAGGGGCAAAGCCCTGTGCAGGGGGTACAATTAAGAATGAGAGAAGGAGGGGCTGGAGTGATAGCACAGCGGGGAGGGCGTTTGCCTTGCACACGACTGACCCAGGTTCGATTCCCAGCATCCCATAGGGTCCCCCAAGTACTGCCAGGAGTAATTCCTGAGTGCATGAGACAGGAGGAACCTCTGTGCATTGCTGGGTGTGACCCAAAAAGCAAAAAAAAAAAAAAAAAAAGAATGATAGTCCAACAGGGAGGACATCAGCCTTGCACACACTGACCTGGGTTTGATCCCCTGATCCCCAGCACCCCATATGGTCCCCTGAGCACTGCCAGGAGTCATTCCTGAGCACAGAGCCAGGAATAACCCCTGAGCACTGCCAGATGTAGCCCCAAAACTGGAAAAAAATGAGGGAAGAAGAACATTAGGCCCTGAAAAGCATTTTCCATCTTCCGTCATGGGTGGAATTCGGTCACTTGGAATCCAGGGGGCGGAGCCTGTGCTGGGCGAGGAGGGAGCCAGGCTGCAGGGGTCGCGGAGCCCCTACCCACAGTCCGTCCTGGTAGATGTAACTGTAGAGCCAGTCATGCACCACCACGTTCCAGGTCCGGTAGTAGTTGGAGAAGGACGTGGAGTTCCACCAGTCCTGGGGAGGGGCAGGATTGGGGGGCGTCGGGGCCTGTGCCCGCCTGGCCCCAGCATCTCCCCACTGCTCCCCACACCTGGCCCTGGCCCCGACTATCCCCTGCATGAGTGCGGCCACCATTCTCCCAGCCCTCAGGATCTGGGGGTCCTGCCCGTCCCCACCCCCCACCCCCAGGCCCTTCTCAGGAGAGGAAGATTCCAAAGCACCAGCCACACGAACGAACACTGTTGCCCGGGGGGAAGAGTGTCTCATGGTGGGAGAAGAAGGTGGCACGGCCGAGGTGACACCCAACAGAGCCACCCTCGTTCCTGGTCGCTCCCAAACCCCCTCTCACCCAGCAACCACATGGCCCGGGGCCTGGCCCTACCCGGTAGAACATTCTGTCTCCAAATCGCAGCATCTCTGCAAAGGCGTTAAGCCAGCAGTGTAGGAAGGCAAAGAAGATGAGCAGCAGTATGAAGAGGCCTGGCCAGGGGGGACAGGGGCCACGCGTCAGGCTGGCCACCAGGGAGGACCCCCGGAAGTGGCGCGGAACCCCTGCTCAGCAACCATGGGGCCTCGGTTCTTTTATTTTGGGGCGACACCAGCTGTGCTCAGAGCTGACTCCTGGCTCTTCACTCGGGGATCGCTCCTGGCAGGGCTCGGGGGATCCTCTGGGATGTCGGGGATTGAACCCGGGTCAGCTGTGGGCCAGCAGACACCTCACGCTCTGGCCTATGCTGCCAGCCTCTGGGCTGCTGTCCTTCCCCAGTTCCTGTTAGTCACTCGACAGCTCATACATTTGTGAGTTAATCCATTTCTTGTGAACTCAGGCCAGGCCTGGGAGATCACGGAGTGGGTGAGAGAAGAGGCAAGGAGGGGCCTGTGTCGTTGCAGCTACCTCAGCTGCAGGTATCTGCTGCAGGAAGTGGGGTGCAGGGCTGGGGGTGGGGGCCTGGTGAGGGATGGCCGCAAAGGGAAGGAGGAACTTGACCTCCAAAAAGAAACTGGGGGGCGGGCTGGAGAGATAGCACAGCAGGTAGGGCATTTGCCTTGCACATGGCCGACCCGGGTTCGATTCCCAGCATCCCATAGGGTCCCCCGAGCACCGCCAGGAGTGATTCCTGAGTGCATGGGCCAGGAGTGACCCCTGTACATCGCCGAGTGTGACCCAAAAAGCAAAAAAAAAAAAAAAGGCGTGCAGAGCGGGCTCAGGGACAGTCCAGACACCCAGATGACAAGCAGTCAAGGGAGGAGGCGGCTATGAGGGGCTAGTGCGGGGGGGGGGGGGGGGGGGAGTGAGCACTGAGTGCGGGTTGGGGGGAATGCAGGAGGAAGGGACGCCCCAGAGTTCCCCTCCCCGGGCACAGCCCTCTCCAGCCCTGCCCGCGCAGACCTGGCAAGGTGGCATGCATGATGGACAGCACCAGGGCGCGCGTGCTGAACGGCTCCCGGCTCATGTTGGCGAAGACGGGCACACACAGGCGGCAGAGGATGAAGCAGGCGTAGAGGAGGCAGCCCAGGGTCTGCACAGGCAGAGGGGCAGCAGCTGCTCGGATGTGGGCCGGGGGGAGGGGGCACTGACGACTGCTGCCCCCTTTTCTGGACTCCGGCCCAGTACCTGTCTTCCCCCCGGCCGGCTGGCCGCACCCTCTGCCCTCCTCCCTGGCCTCCCCCCAACTCCCTCAGCCCGCACGTGAGTCACCCCACCCCCTCCCCCAGCCCCTCCCCTCCCCCCTCTTCTGACCTGGGCAAAGTTCTTGGCCACATAATTCCACCTGACACGGGGCGTCCTGCAGCGGCCAAGAGACAACGTGTTTCTCAGGCTGTTGCCTGGTTCCTGCTCAGGCTGGGAGGCGGGGGTGGGGGGTGGCAGGGCTCTCTCTGTAGCTCCCTGGGCTGCTCTAGCCCCCCAGAAGGGTTATCTGAGGAGCAGGGTATCTAGAACACTCCGTGCCTTCCACAACAGAGAGGGCCAGTGGAATCTGAGCTCGCTGTTCACTGAGGGGCCAGGCTGAGGGTTTTCCCACGACCTGAGGTTTTCAGTGTCCAAACCAGGACAATCCTGGGCAATCCGGGACAGCCAGTCACCTTGGTGTCACTGTGTGTCGTGCAAGGAGGAGGGGTCGGCAACCCCACTCAGCTGCCATCTCTGGGGATGCTTCCTGAGGAAGTGGTGGGGACCCAAGGAGAGGGAGGAGGGAGCACCCTCTCCCTGGGCATTTGGTGTTTTTGTTTTTGTTTTGTTTTGTTGTTGTTTGGTGCACACACATACACACACACACACACACACAGTACTTGGCAATGTTCTGGGGCAAGCCCCACCTCTGTACTCAGGGGTCACTCATGACACTGCTTAATGAATGATTTGGTGTCAGGGATGGAATATCCATGTGCATGTGCCTGGGCCACTGTGTTCTCTCTCCGGTTCCGTAGCTGGGCATTCGGGAAGGGACACAGGGTCTTACCTGGGATAGTTCTCCCTGTAGATGAGTGTCGGGCAGAAGAGGAAATAGAGGTAGCTGGAGAAACTAGGGGTGTCACCTGGAGGAATGAGAAGGGAGATCAGTAAGGACAGGGCAAAGGTGAGTGGGAGGATGAAGGGTGTTTTTGTTCTTGTGTGGTTTGGTTTTTATTTGCGGACCACGTTCATCTGTGAGAGTAAGTCAGGGCTTGCTTCTGGATCTCTAGTTGGGATCACTCCTGGCAGGACTCAGGGAACCATATGTGATGCCAGGGTTCAAAACCAGGTTGACTGTGTCCCAGGCAAGCGCCCTACCCACTGCACTATCTTTCTGGCCCCTGTTTTATTTGGTTTTGGGCCATACCCAACAGTACCTAAAGGCTATTCCTAGCAGAGCATTTGAGGTACCAAGGCATCCAAGCCTGTATGCAAAGCACATGTTCTGGCCTTTAAGTCATCTCCCAGCCTGGGAAAGGGCACTTGGGCCAGAGGAGAGCCGGGTAGGACAGAGGTGTGAGCATGGACGAGGAGGCCGCATGTGGGGCCCGGGGTTAGCTGGGAAAGGGAAAACAGGAACGTCTGAACTTGCTCTCCTTTTCTGGGGCCTCTGTCCCAGGCACCCCCTTTTCTGGTGCAGGGCCTGCTGTGTCCAGAACACAAGTTCAACCACTTGACCTCTTGTTCTCATTTCCTAAACAAAAGTTCACCAACCCTGGGTCTTCCCTGAGAATAAGCCTCGTCCGAGATTCGGAAGGGGCCAGAAGTCCGAGGCAACTCAGGCGCCTCTCTCTGAGGGGTGCAGGAATAACCCTTAGATATTGCCAGTCTGGCCGAAACAAACCACAACAAAACAGCCGCCAGAGAGTTAGTAAAATGCAGGATGACTGGGACAATAGCTGAAGGCCAGCGATTTACCTCGTGAGCATGAAGGGTTCAAGAAGAACTTGTATGATAGGGCCAGAGTGACAGCACAGCGGGTCGGGCCCTTGCCTTGCACGTGGCCAACGCAGGTTCAATCCCAGTATTCCATATGGCCCCCCAAGCCCTCTCAGGAGTGATCCCTGAGCACAGCCAGGTGTGCCCCCAAGCCAAACCGAACCAAACGTAAGAGCTTCGGTGGGGCGCTGCTAGTCAGGGACCTCACCTCCTTTGCCGCGAAGGGTCCCCGGCACCGACTCTCGCAGGAAGGAATAGCTTTTCATCAGAAGCCTGACCTGGGACCGAGGGAGGGAGGGTGAGCTGCGTGTCTTTCAGCTGTGCCCTCCGTCCGGGGCGAGCAGCAAAGGCTTTCTGATCGGAACCTGGACTTAATCTTTTAGTCGCATCTCGTTTTAGATGAGACAGTGGCTGGGATGAACCGAGGGTAAAGGGCACAGGAAAAGCCAGGGCGTAATCTTCATCCGGCCTTCTACCTGGAAGTCTACACGGAGTCAGGCGATCTTTGATAGCAGCGAGGGGCACCTGAGGGCGCGCTCCACCCTCCCAGCCAGCAGGCCCCGCCCCCGGGGCTAACCCCGCCCACCAGGGAGTGTCCGGCCCCGCCCCAGAAACTAGCCCCGCCCACCAGGGAGTGTCCGGAGTCGGCCCCCTCTGCGGGCCCCGCCCCCGGAACTAACTCCGCCCACCAGAGTGTCTGGGCCCTGCTCCTCCGTGGCCCCGCCCCCGAAACTAACCCCGCCCACCAGGGAAGTGTCTGAAGTTCGCCCCTTCCGCGGGCCCCGCCCACCAGAGAGTGTCCGGAGTCGGCCCCCTCTGCGGGCCCCGCCCCCAGAACTAACTCCGCCCACTGGGGAGTGTCCGGCCCCGCCCCCGAAACTAACCCCGCCCACCAGGGAGTGTCCGGAGTCGGCCCCCTCTGCGGGCCCCGCCCCCGGAACTAACTCCGCCCACCAGAGTGTCTGGGCCCTGCTCCTCCGTGGCCCCGCCCCCGAAACTAACCCCGCCCACCAGAGAGTGTCCGGCCCGGCCCCGCCCCCCAAATTAACCCCGCCCACTAGGGAGTGTCCGAAGTCGGCCCCCTCTGCGGGCCCCGCCCCCAGAACTAACTCCACCCACCAGAGTGTCCAGGCCCTGCTCCTCCGTGGCCCCGCCCCCGAAACTAACCCCGCCCACCAGGGAGTGTCCGGAGTCGGCCCCCTCTGCGGGCTCCGCCCACCAGAGTGTCCGGCCCTGCTCCTCCGTGGCCCCGCCCCCGAAACTAACCCCGCCCACCAGAGAGTGTCCGGCCCCGCCCCAAAAATTAACCCCGCCCACTAGGGTGTGTCCGAAGTCGGCCCCTCGGCGGGCCCCGCCCCCAGAACTAACACCACCCACCAGAGTGTCCAGGCCCTGCTCCTCCGTGGACCCGCCCCCCGAAACTAACCCCGCCCACCAGGGAGTGTCTGAAGTCCGCCCCCTCCGCGGGCACCGCCCACCAGAGTGTCCGGCCCCGCCCCCGGAACTAACCCCGCTCACCAGGCAGGGTCCGGAGTCGGGTCCCCTCTGCGGGCCCCATCCCTGGAACTAATTCCACCCACCAGAGTGTCCGGCCCTGCTCCTCCGTGGCCCCGCCCCCAGAAATAACACCGCCCACGAGGAAGTACCCGGGCCCGCCCCCGGAATTAACCCCGTCCACCAGGGAGTGTCCGGTCCCGCCCCCAGAAATAACCCCGCCCACCTGGAAGTACCCGGGCCACCCCCGGAATTAACTCTGCCCACCAGGGAAGTATCCAGGCCCCGCCCCCAGGTCCTAACCCCGCCCATCAATAAGTACCCAGGCCCCGCCCCAGGGGCTAACCCCGCCCCCGTCCCCTCTGCGGGTGCCGCCCATCACCTGCTCGAACACTAGGATACTGCTGGAGGCCGGTGGGAGCTGGTACTTCATCGCCACGTGGACCGGGAGCACCCAGAGCACGGCCGTGTGGGCCAGCAGCAGCACGCAAGCCAGGCCCACCCCCAGCTTCCAGGCTGCGGCCGCTCGGGGCCTCGCCCACAGACGCAGGGCCTGGTAGGGCACCAGCAGCGTAGACAGAAACATGGGGACCCACGTCATCAGCGCCAAGGGCAGCTGTCCGAAGGTGAAGATCAGCAGGTCAATCTCCAGCATCAGCCTTGGGGTGGAGGAGAGACGAAGGAGATGAATGTGCCGCACGCCCCCACTTTCCCTTTCCGCGGCAGTCAGGGCTCTTGGGAGACGACTGAGCTGTCATGCTAAAGTGACGAGCTCCCCGTCTCTAACGGTGTGCGAGATGGCACTTCTGCTGCCCTAGATATTGGCAAAGGGAACTACCCCCGGGAGGCCCAGCCATGGAGTGAGTTTGCCTCTGACGTTTGAACCTGGATCGATTTCTTAAGGGTTCCAGAGGCGCTCAGTGCTTTTTATGGCCTGATTGCTGGGATAGAAGATATTTAAGGCTTAACCGATTTTCTTAATTTGGTTGCTTTAAAGTGTCCACAGGCTGACTGTGTTTTGTTTCTTATTTTTTCTTTTTTTCCGTTTTGGCTTTTTGGGTCATACCCAGCGATGCACAGGGGTTACTCCTGGCTCTGCACTCAGGAATTACTCCTGGCCGTGCTTGGGGGACCATGTATATGGGATGCTGGGAATTGAACCCGGGTTGGCCGCATGCAAGGCAAATGCCCTACCCGCTGTGCCCACTACCAGGAGCAATCCCGGAGCACAGAGCCAGGATTAGCCTTCCGAGTGCTGCCAGGTGTGGCTCAGATAACCAAAAGTTGAAGAACACCCAAATATTGAATAAAGGACCAAATGAACAGAATCTGACTCCTCCTGACTCTATAATCATTATAACATTGAACTAACATGAACAAATCGATGTCTAAGATAGATCGTTAGGGCATGGGGGCAGAACAATAGGTAGAATGAATTATTTACGTAATAAGTAAACAAGTATCTGCCAAAACATCTTGCTACTGATATCCATCACTGTCACTGTCCTCCCATTGTTCATCAGTTCGCTGGAGCGGGCCCAGTAATGTCTCCATTGTGAGACTTATTGTTACTGTGTTTGGCATATCAAATACGTCACGGGTAGCTTGCCTGGCTTTGCTGTGTGGGCGCGATTCTCTGGGTAGCTTGCCGGGCTCTCCGAGAGGGGCAGAGGAATCGAACCCGGGTTGCCCAGGTCGGCAGCGTGCAAGGCAAACGCCCTACCCGCTGTGCTATTGCTCCAGCCCACTGATGTCCATATGGATGTGAATACTTGGAAAATGTTCTGAAGGAAACTCTTAGAGTGCTCAGATCTTACCTCAAGGGGAGCAAGACACTTCATATGTCCTTGTGGGTTTTTTTGTTTGTTTCCTTGGGCCAAACCCACTGTTACTGAGTGACTCAGTGCTTACTCTGAGCTCTGTGCTCAGGAATCACTCCTGGCAGGGCTTGGGGGACAGATGCAGTGCTGGCCACATGCAAAGCAAGTGCCTTAATCCCTCTTCTTGAATTTCTTTTTGTTTCTTTCTTTCTTTGAAGGGGGGGGGGGCATACTTGACGGTGTTCAGGGCTTACTCTTGGCTCTGTGCTCAGGTGCCGTGTATTGAACCTGGGTTGGCCACTTGCAAGGCAAGTCCCTACCAGCTGTATCAATCACGGTCACGGTCACAGTCACGGTCCTCCCGTTGTTCATCGATTTGCTCGAGCGGGCCCAGTAACGTCTCCATTGGAGACTTTGTTGTTACTGTGTCTGGCATATCGAATACGTCACGGGTAGCTTGCCAGGCTCTGCTGTGCGGGTGAGATACTCTCGGTAGCTTGCCGGGCTCTCCGAGAGGGGTGGAGGAATCGAACTCGGGTTGACCATGTTGACCGCTTGTAAGGCAAACGCCCTACCGCTGTGCTATCGCTCTAGCCCAGCTGTATCAATAGTTAGTACTATTGATATAGCTGACCCTCTTCTGGGGGCTTTATTGAAATTTGATCCTTCAAATAGAAATACAACTAACAGCATCACTTTTACCAAAGACTTCGCTGTTGCTGAGGGTACTTGGTCTTCCTCTCCTACTGAGGGTGTAATGGGCTGAGGGCATGGAAATACAGGACCCCAGGGGGAGACAACTGAGGTTCATCTAGCAAGAGGGTGCTCTCTAGGGAAAACAACACACCCAATGATTCGTGTGTATATCTGTCTTCCCCTAGCAGATGTGGAGGGAAAATGCAGAGGACTCAGGACACTGGATGGGGTGTGCCCCTGGGGTCGGCTACTTGAACTGAACAGCACTGACTTGGCAAGGAGCATATGAGAAGCTGGTGTGTGAGCACCTACACGTGCACTTCTGCTGTTAAGAATCCTTGAGGATGGGCTGGAGTGATAGTACAGTGGGTAGAGCGTTTGCCTTGCATGCAGCCAACCCGGGTTCGATTCCCAACATCCCATATGGTCCCCCAAGCGCCGCCAGGAGTAATTCCTGAGTGCATGAGCCAGGAGGAACCCCTGTGCATCACTGAGGTTTCTCTCTCATCACTGAGAGTGTCCGAATAAGAAAAAAAAAAGAATATCTGAGGGGTGTTGTGTCCCCACAGTGACTAACTTTGGAAGGGTGGCACCAATGGTCAACAAAGGATTTAGGGCCTCAGTGATAGTACCTGGATGGGGCATTTGCCTTGCACACGGCCAACCTGGGTTCAGTGTCCAGCATCCCATGTAGTCCCCCAAGCACCACCAGGAGGAATCCCTGAGTGCAGAGCCAGGAGTAAACCCTGAGCATCGCTGGGTGAGGCCCCCAACAAACAAAAATGTCATCAAAGCGGGCTGGAGCGACAGTACAGCGGGGAGGGCATTTGCCTTGCATGCAGCCGACCCAGGTTTGATCCCCAACATTCCATATGGTCCCCTGGGCACTGCCAGGAGTAATTTCTGAGTGCAAAGCCAGATGTTACCCAAAAAGTAACAGAACAAAACAAAACAGTTATCAAAGGCTTCAAAGGCTTAGGAGGAAGAGGTGCAAGAGTGTATAAGAATAAACGATATGGGGGCTGGAGAGAGCACAGCAGGTAGGGCGTTTGCCTTGCACGCGGCCGACCTGGGTTCGGTTCCCAGCATCCCATAGGGTCCCCTGAGCACCGCCAGGAGTAACTCCTGAGTGCAGAGTCAGGAGTAAGCCCTGTGCATTGCCAGGTGTGACCCAAAATGCAAAAATAAAAAAGAATAAACGATATGTTACAAGGTGTTAGAATAAACGCTGTGGCACGTTTAGCTTTGGAGCACTGGAGCCTGGAGGTGGAAGGATGATGGGGGCGGGGTGCAGGGGGAGGGGACTTACCTGCCCTCATGGAAGAAGTCGATCACCAGGGTGTTGATGATAAACACACACAGGCCAGCAATGAACATGTGGTAGATGGTGCGGAGGTGCTGTATTTCCATCAGCTCGCTGCGGGGACAGGGCTGGTCAGCGTGCGAGGGTTTGCAGTCAGGTGGACCAACTCAGGTATGCTAACACAGGTAGGGTCAGGGCCCAGCACCGGGCCCTTGTAGCTAAGGGGACATTTGCACTCAGAAGACCCTCTCTAGCTCAGACTCGAGCGTCCTGACGGCCTTCCTTCCTTTCCCCATCCAGGCCGAAGGGCAAACCCTCTCCTCATCCCTCCCCTGAGCCACCTAGAGCCGGAGATGGGGACCCAGGTCTCCCGGACGCCCAGCCTGGCATGCGGCCGACCCAGGTGTCTTCCCTGATTCGCACTTGACTTACTCAAGCAGAGACTTGCGCAGGACAAACACTTTGCCTTTCCCCAGAGCTGGCTCCTGGGTCCTGTGTGGAAAAGATTCTTCTGGACCAGGACTCAAAGGAAGAGGCCGTGGGCTGAGAGCAGGGCCTGACACCCGCCTGGGGAGCCCGGGCGGGGCCGCGGGAGCAGGGGCGGTGTGGGAACGGGGGTGGACAGTAGAGAACGGGGACAAAGGCTGGGGCCACACCGGTACTTTGCAAGGGACACGGGCTGCTGTCCTTGCCTCCTGCTCAACTCCGGACTCACTTGCTGGAGGTGTCCGGGGGACTGGGCCGTGGGGGGGTGCCCGGCTGCGGGTACACCTGCACAGCCTCGCGCATGGCCCGATCCAGCAGCTCCAGCAGCTGTCCCTGTGCTTGTTCCAGCAACTGCGTCTTCACAGCCTACGGGACAGAGAGGACAAGGTCCACTGTCCTCCGCCCCCCAAACACCTGAGCTCTGCGCCTGGCCCGAGGCTAAGGTGAGCGGGCAGGGTGCTCCCCAGAGGGCGCCGGGACTCCGGGGCTGGGGGGTGGCAGCCAGAACCACAGTCTCTGAGGCCCAGTTCTGGCCACCCCATCACTCTGGCCCTCCTTGGCTCTCCTCAACCCACCCCCACTATCGGGGAGATTTTTATTTATTTACTTATTTATTTATTATTTATTTATTTATTTTGCTTTTTGGGTCACACCCGGCAATGCTCAGGGGTTACTCCTGGCTCACGCACTCAGGAATTGCTCCTGGTGGTGCTCAGGGGACCATATGGGGTGCTGGGAATCGAACCTGTGTCGGCCATGTTGGCTGCGTGCAAGGCAAACGCCCTACCCGCTGTGCTATCGCTCCAGCCCTGATTTTTATTTTATTTTATTTTATTTTATTTTTATTTTTGGGTCACACCTGGCGATGCACAGTGGCTACTCCTGGCTCTGCACTCAGGAATCACTCCTGGAGGTGCTCAGGGGACCATCTGGGATGCTGGGAATCGAACCCGGGTCAGCCGCGTGCAAGGCAAACACCCTACCTGCTGTGCTATTGCTCCAGCCCCCTATCAGGAAAATTTTTGGCCCTTGTCCTCTGTGGACCTGTTTCCCGCCCCCCCGCCATTACTTATTATTATCATTATCATTATTATTATTAATTATTATTTTTATTAGTTTGATAGTTTTTACTGAAAGTCGTGTAGAAAGATGTGAGGGGGAGGAAGAGCGGGAACACAGGCTTCCCCAGAGGGGAAACAGGCAAGCAAACACGATGTGCGTTCGAGGGAGAACACGGGCCTGAAGAAGTGTCATCTGGGAACGCCAACCTGGTCTGGGAACTCTGTCCCCGCAGGCCTCAGGCCCCTCCCCCTCCCCCGCACCTGCTCTCCTGCCGTCTGACCTCTGATGGCCCTCACCTCCATCTGCTGATTCCATTGCTCCGAGTCCTGTCCTCTGGGGGTGTCAGGGCTTCCTAGAGAGGGTCAAAGGGCACACACGGGACATGGGACAGAGGAGGACAGAGGAGTTAGGGTTCTGCTGCCTGCTGCGAACTCAGAGCTGCTCTGAGCAAGTACTCGTCTTTTTGGCTGACGTCCCCCCCCCCTCCGCCCCGCATCTACTGGGGACAGGTCACAGGCCATCACAGGTATCCTGGCAGTGAGTGAGGAGCCCCAGCGGGTGGGGACTATGAGGACAGACACCAGGTTGCCCGGGAACAGGAAGCTCCTCTTCGCCCTCCCTGCACCCCGTCTGTCCCTCTCCTGTCGCCAACGACACCTCCTGGGACAGCAGGAGCGATGCCCAGCGGAGGGAGGTGACCCTTCGAGTGCATTTCCCCCGGGCTCTCAGCACCCCAGCGGGTGGCTCACCGTCCCCGGGACTGGAGGTGCGGTCCTCCCGCCGTCCCCGTGGCTCCTCTCTCTTCCGCAGACGGGCCGCCTTGGGGTCCATGGCCATCCCGAGTGGGCAGCGAGCGGCCGCAGTCCGCGCTGGCCTGCACTCTTGCCGCCAGTCCCTGCCGCGGCCTCGCTTCCAGCTCTGGAGACTGAAGTCCTGCCAGGAGCAGGGGGCCCGGGCAGCGCCCAAGGGTGCCTGACCCTGGATTCAGTCTCTCAGCTGGGGGGCTGCACTGCCCGCTGGCACGGGGGTGCACACGGCTCACCACCGGCGTCCAGCCACCACCCAGGGCTCTTCCTCCTGCAGGCCCCGTGGCTGTGCATGTCATGGGGAGGGGACCTTTGCCTCTAGGAAGCTTGAGCTTATCAGTAGCGCAGGGCTCGGCTCACCTCACCTTCCAGTCTCAGGCCAGCTGGCGGAAGGCGGAGTCAGAACATCCTCCGGGAACCAGGCCTGGGCTCCCGAGGCCAGGAGAGTGTTGGGGACTGGACCCCCGATGAGTCTGTTCTAGGGAAGGTGGGGACTGGGTGCCTGGGGCCCTTGGCGGGGAAAGCCCGCGACACCAACCCCTCTTGGATTGCAGAAAGGAGGCAAAACCAGTTTTCTCGTTTTGGTTTTTGGGGCCCACATCTAGCTGTGCTCAGAACCAACTCCTGGCTCTGTGCCGAGGGGTCACTCCTGGTGGGCACAATCAAATCAATTCTTATTTAGCAGGATGAAAGCTGGAAGTTGTCATAGAAGGAAGCCCCAAAGCTGAATCTTTCTGAGTCCTCCTGTATTGGCTGTGACACTTCACGGAACTGACCCTGATCTACTTGTTTTGTTTTTTGTTTTCCAGTGATGCTCAGGAATTGCTTTTCGGCAGACTGGGGTAGGGATGGGGCACGAGGGATCCGCCCTGGATTGGGTGCAAGGCAAGTGCCCTACCCACTGTTCTTGCTCTCTGATCTGCAACCCTCATGTTTGTTTGCTTGTTTGTTTTTGGGTCACACCCAGCAATGCTCAGGGGTCCCTCCTGGCTCTGCACTCAGGAGTCACTCCTGGCGGTGCTCAGGGGACCATATGGGATGCTGGGAATCGAACCCGGGTCAGCTGCCTGCAAGGCAAACGCCCTCCCCGCTGTGCTATCTCTTCAGCCCCGACCTTCATGTTTTAAGTCACAGTTTCTTCCGAGAAAGTGTCACACATTCCTACTTTGTGTAGAGAAAGTGTCACACATTCCTACTTTGTGTAAACCATGTGACCTGAATCGTGTTAAAGGGAAAAAAGAAAAAAGAGAAAGAAAATCCTCCCGAGGTCACTGTGCACAGAGGGAGCGCGTTCTGTGCACCGTCGGAGAATTAGCACAGTGGGTAAGCGTGCTTGCCTTGTACGCGGCTGACCCGGGTTCGATCCCCAGAACCACATATGGTCCCCTGAGCCCCACCAGGGGTGATCCCAGAGTGCAGAGTCAGGAGTTAAAAAAGAAAGAAGGTACTAATCTCGGCCATCTCTCCCCAAATGAATGCAATCTTTCTATGTCTATCCCCTTCTTTCTGAGTCAAATAAAGGGTGTTGGGAGGATCCTCCCAGGGTGGGAGAAGCATGCTGAAAGTAGACTACAGACCGAACGTGATTGCCACTCAATGCCTCTTTTGCAAACCACAGCACCCAAAAGGAGAGAGAGAACAAAAGGGAATGCCCTGCCACAGGGCAGGGGGAGAAGGGGGGTGGGAGGGATACTGGGATCCGTGGAGGTGGGAAATGGGCACTGGTGGAGGGATGGGTACTTAATCATTGTATAATTGAAACCCAAGCATAAAAATTTGTAAGTCTACAACTGTACCTCATGATGTCTCACTAATAAAAATTAAAAAAAAAAAAAAGGGGAGGGAGTTCTGGGGAAGGCCCGGGGCCGGCCTGCCCTCGGAGTGCAGACTCTTCCCTGTTTCAGTGGGAAGTAAGGAAGAAGTACTTTCCCAACTCTCTCCTGCCAGGCTGTAGATGGGATCAACCATTAAAGTTTCCACTTCCCTTGGAGTGATAGCACAGCAGGTAGGGCTTTTGCCTTGCACGTTGCCAACCCGAGTTCGATTCCCAGCATCCCATATGGTCCCCCGAGCACCGCCAGGGGTAATTCCTGAGTGCAGAGCCAGGAGGAACCCCTGTGCATCGCCGGGTATGACCCAAAAAGCAAAAACAAAACAGAACAAAAAAAATAATAATAAAGTTTCCACTTCCCCTGTGTCCGAAGATCAGTTAGAAGCCAGGTGACAATCCAGACTGAGTGGTGACCCCCAACCCATTTGTGTCACCCTGCTACGGGGTGTGGGGTGCTCTGGAGGGGCTGCCCTCGTGGTTCACAGTCCTGTGGGGCCAGGACTGGGGGTGGGGAGGGCCTGGGGCTCCAGGAATGTGAGAAGGAGACACAGAGATGTAGGCCAGGCACCCCACACTGCTTTATTGGTACCCCAAACTGCACGCACACTCTTGCCACGCGAGCGGGCCCGGGGTACGGGGACAGCGGGGAAGGCATGAAGCGGGTAGATGTGGGGCTCAGGGCTGGAGTTACTCATCCCTCGACAAAGGCTCCGGCCAGTGGCCCCGCCGCGCCCCCACGGCCCCCGCAGCCTCAGCCGCTGCTCCCGGCGCTGGTGCAGGGGGAGTTTCCGTGGCCTTCAGAGGACCCCGGCAGAGGCTGGCCCATCCGGTCCACACACCAGCAGGGCCCTCGGCGCTGGCCCTGGGAGGAGCGGCACTGGGGAGAGAGGAAGTGGGTGAGAGGCAGCGCCCAGGGCTCCCCGGGACAGGGCGGCTCCCTGCAGCGCCCGCCTCGCCCTCCCCCCGCAGTCCTCATCTTCAGCCACGACAGGATACGGGGGCAGGACACAGCTCAGAGGGCTGGGCGCTGGCTTGGCCTGGCAGGGCAGGATGCCCCCCCCACTCCCTCCCCCCCCCCCCCCCCCCCCACCTTCCAGCAACAGCGACTCTTCAGGCTAACATGGCAGGGCTGAGTTTCAAGTGTGGTGGCCCCTGGTCCATCTCTCTCTCTCCCTCTCTCTAAGTGGGTGGCCCTTGGCCCATCTCTGTCTGTCTCTCTCTCTTTCTAAGTAGGTGGCCCCTGACCCATCTCTCTCTCTCTCTCTCTCTCTCCCTCTCTCTCTCTCTCTCTTTCTAAGTAGGTGGTCCCTGACCCATCTCTCTCTCTCTCTCTCTCTCTCTCTTTCTAAGTAGGTGGCCACTGGCCCATCTCTCTCTCTCCAAGTGGGTAGCCCCTGGCCCATCTCTGTCTGTCTGTCTGTCTGTCTGTCTGTCTGTCTCTCTCTCTCTAAGTAGATGACCCCGGTCCATCTCTCTCTCTCTCTCTCTCTAAGTGGTTGGCCCTTGGCCCATCTCTGTCTGTCTGTCTGTCTGTCTGTCTCTCTCTCTCTCTCTCTCTAAGTGGTGGCCCTTGGCCCATCTCTGTCTGTCTGTCTGTCTGTCTCTCTCTAAGTGATGGCCCTTGGCCCATCTCTGTCTGTCTGTCTCTCTCTCTAAGTGACCCCGGCCCATCTCTCTCTCTCTCTCTCTCTCTCTCTCTCTCTCTCTCTCTCTCTCTCTCTGTGGGGTGGTCCCTGGCCTGCAGCTTTTAGTAGGGCCACATCCAGCAATATCCAGTTGCTCCATTTTTTTTTTCTGTGTGGGTATTTGGGGCCACACCCAGCTGTGCTCCTGGCGCCTCCTGGCTCTGTGCTCAGGAATCACTCCTGGTGGGCTCAGTGCCCTGTACTCCTGGGACTGAACCTGGACTGGCAAGGCAAGCGTCCTGCCCAATGGACAACCTCTCCAGAGGTCACTCCAGTCTCTGCGCTTAAATTCCTGGCAGTGCTCTGGGACCATATGGGATGCCAGGGATCGAGCCCCAGTCAGCTGCTTGAGTGCCCTACCTGCTCCACCGTCGCGCCCGCCCCTGCAACCTTTTGTTTGTTTTGCTTCGGGGCTCCCCCTGGCTGTGCTCGGGGATCTCAGCCGGGCTCAGGGCATCGCAGACTGTGCTGGGGATTAAGCTCAGGCTAGCGGCATGCCAGGCGACTGCCCTACCCCTGGTGCCACTGCAGCAGCTTATCTAAGGGTCTGCATCCTCAGGAGCTGCCCCGGACCCCAGCCCCCTGCCTGTCACAGTTCCTCCCGGCAAGCTTGAGGTTGCAATCTACCTAGCTCGGCTGCCGCCCCTCCTCTTGGCTTTCTTATGTGGGAGCCACGCCCAGCAGTGCTCAGGTGCCAGGCAGTGCCAGGGAGCGCGCCCTGGTCTCCGAAGGCCCAGCACACGCTCAGCCCTCGGTCCTAGTTCTCAGGATCTTTTTCTCTGGGGGCCTCGTCCAGCTGGGCCCAGGGCTTACTTCTGACTCTGAGCTCAGGGGTCACCCCGGCAGTGCTCAGGGCTCCTAGACAGTGCCGGGACAGATGCCATGGGCAAGGCCAGTGCTCCCCGCTGCTGTGCTGTCTCTCTGGGTGGCCCCTAAAGGCAGCATCTCGTTCTTGGCACCTTGTCAGCCTGCCCCCTCCTCCCCTCCCAGTCCTGCGGAGGGAGTAGGGGGTGAGAGGTGATGCCCCACCTGTCGCTTCCGGTAGAAGCCCCGATGGTCGCAGTTGGGCACGTAGAGGGTGTGAGCCCCTCGGAAGACCTCGGTGTGGAGCTGCTGCAGCACCGAGTCCAGATGCCTGCGGCAGGGGCCCTGCAGGAGGAGTCGCGGCTCAGGGGCGCCCCAGTCCAGGGGAGCAGCCTCAGGTGGGCGTCCCCTTCCCCGACAGCCCCAACGCACCATTTCTGTGTCTTGGACGCCCCCAGGGTTGGGGCGGGTGGGCAAGGTGGAGGGTCCCGAGTTCCTCTGCTGGTCTCTGCGGTTCCCGTCGTGGTGGCGAGAAGAGCCTGCTTGGTGCTTACCCTCCTTGGGGCTCTCCCCTGGGGCGTGAGAGGAAGCAGGGCAGGAGGGTCAGAGGTCAGCAGGTGCCAAAGACCAGAGCCGAGCAGGGAACCTCCCCTGCTCAGCCCGGCTGGCGAGGGAATGGATCCGAGAGGTCCGAGTTTGGCGGGGTTAGAACCTGGCTCCACTTGGCCTCCGTTTCTTCTTTGCGACTTTGCTTTTGGTCCGCATCTTCGGGCTAAGCGCTTTTGTTTCCGGCCACACTCATTCCCCCCTTCTGCATCCCCCCCACCCTGTGTGGGGGATCCAAGCCAGGACCTCATGTGGGCAAGGCCTGCACTCACCACTGAGCCATATCCCCACCAGCCAACAAACACCCTCGGTGTTTTGGGTTTTGGGCTCTTGGTGGAATCCAGAGACCCTAGGCAGTGCTGGGATCAGACCAGGATCTGTGTGCAAGGCAAGTGCTCTCTCCGCGGTTTCCCCAAGCCCCCTAACTTGCAGGCTTTATTTGGGAAGCAGGAATTGTGAAGAAAGAAAAATAACATAACGGGGCTGGAGAGATAGCACAGCGGGTAGGGCGTTTGCCTTGCACGCGGCTGACCCGGGTTCGATTTCAGCATCCCATAGGGTCCTCTGAGCACTGCCAGGAGTAATTCCTGAGTGCATGAGCCAGGAGGAACCCCTGTGCAAAGCTAGGTGTGACCCAAAAAGAAAAACAAAACAAAACAAAACAAAACATCACGGGGCTGGGGAGATAGCACAGCGGGTAGGGCGTTTGCCTTGCAGGCAACCGAACCGGGTTAAACTTCCAGCATCCCATAGGGTCCCCTGAGCACCGCCAGGAGTAATTCCTGAGTGCAGAGCCAGGAGTAACCCCTGTGCATCGCCAGGTGTGACCCAAAAAGAAAACAAACAAACAAACAAAAAACATCAGGTGGGGCTGAGCGATAGCGCAGCGGGTCGGGTAGGGCGTTTGCCTTGCACGTGGCCGACCTGGGTTAGAATCCAAGCATCCCATATAGTCCACTGAGCACTGCCAGGAGTGGCCCCTGAGCATCGCCGGGTGTGACCCAAAAAGCAAAAAAAAAAAAAAAAAAAAAAAAGAACAGGAGACCAGAGGCGACTTGGGGCGGAAGGACTGGGATGTTCCACCAGCAGCCAGCAGGTGGCGGAGCAGGGCAGGACACAGGAGGAACAGCCCCGAGAGGGTCAGCAGGGACCCAAGTGGAATGTATGTCCCTGCTGTGACCCTCCTGTGACTCAGTCCACCCGACCAGGCTTGAGACGTGGCGACTCTGGGGACACTGCAGTAGGGACCTCACCCTGCCGGTGCCCTGCGGCTCAGTCCCAGGAGCACATGGATTCCAGCCCAGAGGCAGGACCCACTGGGAAGAGGCTGCCCAGGGCTTCCAGCCCACAGACTGCTGGCTGGCTCCCGGCTCTGGACAGAGCCTCGCACAGAGAGTCCGGGGGCCTTGGGAAAGGCCAGGACTGGGGAGGAAAAGGCCGGCTGGGAGGAGCAGGCACTGCTTGGAATTTACCCCCGCTGTAAAATGAGACCCTGAGATCCTCGAGGGACCCTCTCTTCCCTCATGGCCCAAACACTAGCTGGCGGAGGTCCCTGGCCCTCAAACCTGGACCGCTGTCTCTCGATGCACAGCCAAAGGCATTTCCTCTGCAGTCTCTCTTCTGATCCCCCTTCCTCCCACCCCTCGGACCTTACCCGCACCCCCACCTCTCCAGCCGACCTGCCTGACCGTTGCTCCCTGCTGCCTCGGACCCACAGTCACCTTCTCTTTTTTTGTTTTGCGACCACTCCCAGCACTGATCAGGGCTTACTCCTGGCCCTGCGCTCAGGGATCACTCCTGGAGGTGCCTGGGGGCCCATACAGGATGCCAGGGATGGAACCTGTCCTGGCCACGTGCAGGGCCAGCGCCCACCCGGCTGTACTATCACGCCGGCCCCCATAGTCACCCTTTCTACAAGGACCCCCCTACAAGGATCCCCGGCAGCACGAACCCAATCAGTTGAAAGAAACTCCGAGTTAATTTCCCATCCTTTCATGAGAGAAACTAGGAACTCTGGCACCACCTCTGGGGTGGGGTGGGGGGCTGTCTTTTTTGTTTGGTTTTGTTTGGGGGCCACATCCTGCCGTGCTCAGGGGTTTCTCCTGGCTCTGCATTCAGGAATCACTCCTGGCGGTGTTCAGCGCTGGGGGACCATATGTGGGGGGCTGGAGCGATAGCACAGCCGGGAAGGCGTTTGCCTTGCACACGGCTGACATGGCCGAGCCGGGTTCGATTCCTCCACCCCTCTCGGAGAGCCCGGCAAGCTACCGAGAGTATCTCGCCCGCATGGCAGAGCCTGGGAAGCCACCCGTGATGTATTCGATATGCCAAGCACAGTAACAACAAGTCTCTCAATTTGTTGTGTGACGTTACTGGTGCCCGCTGGAGCAAATGGATGAACAAATCGATGGACAACGGGAGGACAGTGCGACAGTGCCACAGGCTAGGAGCAAGACAAAAGCCCTATCCAGCCCCACCCCCACTTTTGAATTCTTTACTTGCTCTGGTCCTACCTAGTAGTCTTCTCCCTGGGGTGGGGCCAGGGGGTGAGCACAGGGTTCTGAGAAACTTTTTTGGGGGGTGGGGGGCACGCCCAGCTGTGCTTGGAGCTATTCCTCTGCTCCTGGGTCTGTGTGCAGGGAACACTCCTGGCCTGCTCAGGGGACCCCATCAGTGCCGGGAATGGGACTGGGCTAGGCTGTGCAGCAGACACTCGGCCCACGGTACGATCTATCTGGCCTTGGAGCAACTTAAAGCCTGCTCTGTCTGCTCCTCTCTGTCTGCCGCTCCCACTCCCTGGACTCTAGGCTGAGTTGGGAGTGTCCCTACACCCCAGGGTGCTCTGCACTGCCTGGTACCGAGAAGAGGAGTTCTTCTTCTCCTCCGAGTGCAGGGTTTGGGATATTGGGGTTCCCTCCCCCTTTCTCGAACTGGGAGCTGCTAGTCTACCTCCAGCTTGGTCCAGGGCCCCCTTTGGCACGCAGCGTGGCTCAAACCCCCTCCGTCCCCCCACATCCCGAGAAAGTAGGGGGGACCGGCCTGAGAGGCCCAGAGATGCTTGCCTTGCGCGCGCCCACCGGGATTTGGTCCCAGGCACCCCAGATGTCCTGAGCCCCCGTCAGGAGTGACCCCGGAGCCAGGAGCAGGTCCTGAGTGGTCCCCAAACAGACAAACCAGGCCCTGCGAGCTGGCCCCTGCGCTGCCCCCCACCCCACGCCCGCCCCGCGCCTGTCCCCGCGCGTCCCCGTCGTCGTCCTCGCAGATGAGGGCGCGGCGGGGCGCGGGGTGGGGGCCAGCTCGCAGACCCCGGGTCCCGCGGGACCCTCGGGAGCTGCGGGGCCCGGGGGGCGTGGCGGGGGCGGGGCGCGGACTCACCCGAGGGCGCGCGCGCCCGGACGCAGCGCCCGCGGCCCTGCAGCAGCGCCCGCAGCGGCGCGGGTTCGTCCTCGGGTGGGTGGCACTGCAGGCCCGGGGCGCAGTTCGGGGTGTAGACCCCGCACTGCTGCCCCTCCCGCCTGCGGCAGCCGCCGGCTTCCGCACACTCTTCCTCGGGCGGCCCCGCGTCCGCCTCCTCCACGCAGCCCCCGGGACAGCCCGCCGCGGCCGCCGGCGCCCCTGGGCCGCAGCCTGGGCAGCGGGCCACGGTGCCCCCCGGGTGGGCGGCGAGCAGCAGAGACAGCAGCAGCAGCAGGGGCGGCAGCAGCCCGGAGGGGGGTCATGGTCAGCACGTCCACCCCGTCCACGCGCGTCCCAGCCACCCGGCGCAAATGCGGCCGCCGCCGCAGCCCCTCGGCCTTAAGTAGCCGCCGGCGGGGGGCCGGGCCCTTTAAGAGCCAGGTGAAGGGGGGTGGGAGCGGGAGGAGGCCGGGGCATTCCCCACGCTGGGTGGGACTGCAGGGCTGCACCCCCGCCCCCCACCCAGGTCCTGCCCCCTCTTCCCTCTCCCCTCCCTCTCCAGTTTGGGCTGATTTCCCAAATGACCGGGATTTTTCTTGCATCCCGGGAATCTCGCCCAGAATTGGGGAGCCGGACAGCTGGCCGGAGGGAGGGAGGGCGGGGCAGGGGGAGGCCTCGGTCCCGTGTGGGAGGGCGGGGTGCAGGGGGGCAGCGAGGAGAGGGGGCCCAGGGGAGGACAGAGGGGGCTCTGGGAAGCCCCGAGAAGGCTGGGGGTGAGGGCCACGCTGAGGGCATCGGGGCCGCAGCTAGTGCGGGAACCCCGGCAGGCCCTGAGTGCCAGGGGACTGTAGGGAGGTCCAGCCTGCACGGGGAGAGAGTGGGGATGGGGCTTGGGGGTCCCCGGAATGACGGGGTCCAACATCAGCGCTCTTGGGGACAGCTGCCAGGAGACCCGGCCCTCCCCTGGCCCCTGTTCCTCATTGGGTCTGTGCCCACTGCCTGGCTGTACCCCTGCCCAGCCCCAGCGCTCCACACACCCAGATTCCTGGTGGGGGAGAAGGCAGACCCCACCCTGCAGGCTTAGGCAACAGAGGCCTTCTCACACTTTCCTAAAAGGAGCAAACGCAGGGGCCATATGACATTCTGGACCCCCAGAATGGAAGTCCAGGAAGGACTTCCTGAGTCCTTAGATCAGACAAAGGCAAAAGCACCTTCTTTCCAGTTCTGTCCCCCAGGGCTGCCCTGGGAGGGACGTTAGGGCTCAAAATTGGGGACCTGTGTCTCCGACACCACCTGTTGTCGGGGAGAAGGGCTTGGCAGAGAGGGAGCCACCCCTCGCAGAGGGGCAGAGGCTCTCTGATCTCTCCCCCAAGCTCCCTTCCTGTTTCCCAAACCCTCATCACTACTTTGCCCAGCGTGAGGCTCTGGCTAGGCCTTTTCTCCTGGGCCCCAGCAAGTTTTGTGGCCGGTTGGGTGAGGAAGAGACAATTGTGCTTGTTGCAGGTTCCCCGTGTGGCTTTTTTTTTCCTGCTTTTTGGATCTCACCCGGTGAAGCTCAGGGTCCTCCTGGCTCTGCACTCAGGAATTACCCCTGGCAGCGCTCGGAGGACCATATGGGATGTCAGGGCTCAAACCCAAGTTGGCTGTGTGCGAGGTCAGTGCCCTTCCTGCCGTACTATTGCTCTGGCCCCAAATGAGGCTTTTCTTTTCTTTCCTTTTCTTTTCTTTTCTTTTCTTTTCTTTTCTTTTCTTTCCTTTCCTTTTCTTTTCTTTGTTTTTTGCTTTTTGGGTCACACCTGGCGATGCACAGTGGCTACTCCTGACTCTGCACTCAGGAATTACCCCTGGCGGTGCTCAGGGGACCATATGGGGTGCTGGGAATCGAACCCAAGTCGGCCATGTGCAAGGCAAACGCCCTACCCACTGTCCTATGGCTCCAGCCCCAAATGTGGCTTTTTTAATGCTCTTTTGCTTTTTCTTTGTAGGTTATGGTGCAGCAAAGCTCTGTACTCTGCCAGCTACCCCTCCCACCCTTCCCTTCTCAATACTGCCTTTGCAAATTCCTTTTTGTGCCTTCCACATCACACTGCCACCCTCACTGGCTTCCCCTAAGACTTCTAGACTTCGGGGCAGGAGCAATAGCACAGTGGGTAGGGCGTTTGCCTTGCACGCGGTCGACCCGGGTTCGATTCCCAGCACCCCATAGGGTCCCCTGAGCACCGCCAGGGGTAATTCCTGAGTGCAGAGCCAGGAGTAAACCCTGTGCTTCGCCGGGTATGACCCAAAAAGGAAAAAAAGACTTCTAGACTTCCACCTCTCTGGCCAGTTCTTCCCTCTAGTCTGAGGTGGGGGGTGGGGTTTGGGGTGTGGGCTGCGCTCTCACAGTACCCAGCACCCTGCAAGATACTTCCCGTTCTCCACTTTTTTCCACCGCTCCAGCAGGGACCCCAAGAGCTGGGCACAGGCAGTGTGAGGGTCTAACCGGACCCCGCTTTCTCTTCCTTTGGAGGGGCGCCTGCCCCTCTCAGCACCTGGAACACACTACGGCCCTCAGGGTGGAGTGTGGGCCAAGATACAAACCCTGGGCCCTCTTGACGCCTCTGCTCGAGAGAGCCTTGCTCCTGCCAGGGCTGCAGAAAGGCGAAGCAATGTGAGCTGCTATTTCAACTTTTCCATAAGTTAAACTCTACCGGGCCTTCTTCCTGTTGCACATTCCACTCTGTTCTGATGATCTATCTCCTGCTTGGCTGACTTCTGATTAGTTTTCTCCAGGCCTTACTCCTTGCGATGAGCTCAGGGATCACTCCTAACAGGGCTCGGGAACCAACTAGGGGCCCTAGATCAATGGCACCCCCAGGTGGTAACTTCTTTTTGAGATCAAGGAGGGGAAGGGGATTACCAGACCCTTAAGGTGTCCAGTCTGGGACTGAGCTATCGCATGGCAGTGGGACGCTTGCCTTGTACGTAGCCAACCCGGGTTTGATTCCTGACACCCCTTATGGTCCCCGGAGCCCAGCAGGAGTGATCCCTGAACGCAGAGCCAAGAGTAAGCCCTGAGCACCGCCAGGTGTGGTCTAAAGAACAGGGGCTGGAGCGATAGCACAGTGGGTAGGGCATTTGCCTTGCAGGCGGCCGACCCGGGTTCGATTCCCAGCATCCCCTATGGTCCCCCGAGCACCGCCAGGAGTAACTCCTGAGTGCAGAGCCAGGAGTAACCCCTGTGGATCGCCGGGTGTGACCCCCCAAAAAAAGGGAAAAAAAAGAACAAAAACCAACGGACCAAACGAAAAACAAACCCCAAAATGAAATAAAACAAAAGTGTGGAGTCTTAGGAAAAACAGGGCTGGCATAGTCACAGAAGGGCTAGAGAAGATTAGAACCACTACTGGACGTGGCCTGAAGCTGAGGGCACCGAGCGTGCTCACAGGCTTGGATTTCTAGAGCATTTTACAGTTGTTGCTTTTTTTCTGTTCTTTTTCCTCCCTTTTTTGGGAGGGGGTCACACCTGGCTGTGTTCAGGGCTTTCTCCTTGCCTCTGTACTCAGGGATCACTCCGGTCGGTGCTCAGACCAGGTGTGGTACCAGGGATCGAACTCCAGTCTGTTGCATGCAAGGCAAACGCCTTGTCCACTGTGCTATCTCTCTGGCCCACTGTTGCTTGTTCCTTGTTTGGGGGCCCACCTGGTGTGCGAGGGGCTGATGGGGGGGAGTTAATAAGTGGGAGCAAACAGGCTGCTTGGTATCTGCTGCCACCGATCTGACCGCAGAGAGCAGGGAGGCGGGTCGGCTAATGCTGGCCCATAGTACAGCAGATGGGGTGGTTGCCTCGGATGTGGCTGACCTGGTTTCAATCCCTGGTCCTGCCAGGAGTGATCCCTGAGCACGGAGAGCCAGGAGTAAGCCCTGAGCATCACCAGGTGCGGCTCAAGCACACACACACACACACACACACACACACACACACACAAGAAAGAAAATAGAAACCCAAACCCACCCTAAGAAACAAGATTCACATCCTCTATTATCTCTCTATAAAATGGTGTGGCTATATCTGCCTAATTAATTAATTAATCTTTTAAAAAAAATTTTTTTAAGAAACCAATTTATTTATTTATTTTCCCTTTTTTGGAGGGGGGGGTCACACCCAGCAATGCTCGGAGGTTACTCCTGGCTTTGCACTCAGGAATTACTCCTGGTGGTTCTTGGGGGACCATATGGGATGCCGGGGATCGAACCCGGGTCAGCTGCGTGCAAGGCAAACGCCCTACCCGCTGTGCTATCGCTCCGGCCCCCTAATTAATTAATTTTTACCCCATCCAGTGATACTCAAGGGTTACTCCAGTATCACCCCCAAGTGTACTCACCAAACTCCTATGAGTGCTTGGGGATCACATGGGATGCCAGGGACCAGACCCCAGTAGGCTACGTGCATGGCAAACACCCTACCCACTATCTATACTAGTGCTCCAGCTTCCCTACTTTATAGAATTATTACGAGTATCAGAGATAATTCATTCTTTCTTTTTGACTTTTTGGGCCAGACCCACCAATACTCAAGAGCTACTCTGAGCTTCCTGCTCAGGGGTCCCTGCTGGTGGTGCTTGGGGACTCTGCGGTGCTAAGGGTCAATCCTGGGTGTCCTGCAAACAAAGCATACTGGCACTCAGCCCTTGGAGCTATGTCTCTGGCCGGTACTCAGTGATTTCTGGTCTTGGTTTTTGGATCATTCTCCGTGGTGCTAGGAGCTAGTCCCTGCTTTAGTGCTGTGAGGCCACTCCTGGCAGTGTACGGGGGAACCCGCAGTGCTAGGGATCGAAAAGAGGATTCCTATAGGTAAAGCGTGCCCGCAGCCCACCGACCTCTCTGACAGACGCACAGTGATTTCTTTTTCCATAATGAATGAAGGATCAAACTCAACTCCTGATGCACACATATACTCAGTGTTAGTGGAATTGTTGAATGAATGAATGAAGTAGCTCACTCAGTTCCCAGCCCACACAAATGTGCTCAGTATTTGTTGAATGAATGATTGAAGCATCCAACTCCGTTCCCGGCCCACACAGTGTCCTCAGTATACTGGCTCAAAACTGCTGTGTTCACAGCTGGAACTCTGAGCTTTGGAAGACCTCCTTGGACTGGAAAAGATCCCGAGGAAGGCAATGTTGGGGTGGGGTGAGTTAGGCAAACAGATGAAGGCTCTTCACTCTGAAGAGGAGACCGAGAGGCTCGGATTCAACTCAAGTTCATCGAACGCTTATTTATTTTGTGGACAATTCTCACACTGTTCCGTTGCCGTCTCTGGCAGAGGAGCTG